GGTAACTCAAAAAGACAAGACTAAGGTCCCTTACATGAGCTTCTCACTGATGTTTCTTTATCATCAGAACCAACATCAGACCCAAAATTAAACGGTGACCAAGCCTGCAAACACCAATAAAACACACACTTACATGAAATCAACCACACTCCACCATAACTAAGAATGGATAAAACAACAAGTACCTCTTCAATAGTTTCCAATTCATGTTTCCCACTAGAAGCTGAACCAGATACATAAACCCAAGGAAACCTCTATACACAACATAATCATAACTCATAAGCCAAAAACATTGAAACTTACAATAGCTTGATACAAAAAAAAGAACTACCTGATGTAATTGTTTCAAAATCTGGAAACTTGCTGTAATAACTTCTAATCTTTTTCCAAATCTCAATATCCGAAAAATCGCTTGATACATTTTTCTTCAAATAAAACAAAAACCCAAATCAAAATTCTGAAAAATTTGGCGAAAATTTACTAAATTTCTTACTTCGATGGAGGAATTCCGTTTTCGGGTACTAGTGAAGCGGAACGAACAGCTCCCAGAAACATCAAACCTATAGGGTTTTCAAAATCAAAATCAGAAACCCTAAAAAGGGATTTTTATCAGAAAAAAAATCGAAAAATCAGAGATTGAAATTGAGAAAGAAAACGAACGATCTTCGTTAGCGTCACGATCGTCTTTATCGCCGGTGGAATCAAGCATAGCTAATGTGTTTGCTTCTAATCCACCGTCATAGCTATTCATCACTCTGCTACTACTACTCGCCTTCGACATTTTTCGCTTTCACGATTCCAATTGTTTCTTCTTCAATTCAACAGAGAGAATCGTAAAATTAGAACAGAGAGAGAGATTTGTAGAACCCTAATAATCAATAGAGCAATTTTCCCGCCATATAAGAGAATTGTTCGCAAAAATAAAATAAAAAAAGCTCCGTTGCCGGGACTCGAACCCGGGTCTCTCGGGTGAGAGCCGAGTATCCTGACCAGCTAGACTACAACGGATTTGGACGATACCCGTGTATATTTCTTATATAAAGTATAGTTATAATTCTATAGTGGTGGTGTTGCATTGGACTTAACGTTTTGGAAGTTCGTTTATCAATTCTAATGGTATTCTCAGTAATCATAGAGTCAAAAATTCGTCTCCTTAGAATTTACAAATTGCAAAAGCCAAAGTCTCAAGATAAAAATAAAGTAGTAGTCTAAAAACTAACTTAAAACTCGAATATCCTCTATATATTAATTGAAAAGACACTAGAGAAAAAAAAAATATTATGCGTCAATCAATGAGTAATTTAAGGAACACATCATCTAATTTAATCAATCAGAACATTTTTATTATAAGTATATGTCATGGTGTAAATTCTTTATATATTCTTATTAAATTTTAACATAAACCTATTTATAGATGTTTTAAAATTTTAAACTCAACTAATTATAAAATTTTAGACTTACCGTAGCATTTATTTTTCTGATATATTAACAAGCT